CAAACTGCCTTCTTATATAATTTTCCTAAAGTCTCTGAGTGTGTCTGTCAGTACAGCACATGTTTTGTGAGTGCCTGTCACCTACAGCAATTGGTATCACCTAGGAAGATCTTGAAGTCCTTGTGCCCACCACATGCCTGTCAAATCAGAATCTTTGGATGTGGGGCCCTGGCATCAGCATTGCCCAGACTTTGCAGATGATTGTGGGGTACAGTAAAGGCTTGAGGGCCACAGACTGGGAGGATTCCACAATAGTCAAAGAAAATGTAGGGAAGAAAAAAGAGAGATTTAAGGCAGTCATTCTCAACTGGTGGTGATTTTACCCAGACATTTGGCAGTGTTTGGCAACATTTTCAGAAACTGGGGTAGTGATACTAGCATCTAGTGAGTAGAGGCCAGGGATGTTCCTAAAAACACCCACTATATCCAGGACAGTCCCCTTAGCAAAGAAAGAACCAGCCCCAACTGTCACTGGTGCTGACATTGAACAAGCTTGATATAATAGACAGGAAGGAAGCAACAACACTGACTTTTGAGACAGATGTGTCCACACCGAGCTGGGTGATGTAGCGCACGCTTATAATCCCATCGACTTGGGAGGCTGAGGCAGGAGAATTGCAAGTTCAAGGCCATCCTCAGCAACTTAGTGAGACCGTGTCTCTAAATAAAAAGTGAAAAGGGCTGGGGATGTGGCTCAGTGGTAAACCATCCCTGGGTTAAATCCCCAGGACTTCCCCCACCACACACACATACATAAAGAAACATGTGTCTGCACTAGTGAAAATGTCAGGCCTCCTCCGGCCACAGGCCACCTGTGCTGTGCTCATTCTTCAGCTCGGTATATTGAAACTTTCTGGCCATAACTGTTTCCATCCGTGAAGCCTCAGTCTGCTCCTGCCCAATTTATTATCTTGCTTTTCTTTTGGAAATTAATTTGTTTCTCCCCCCCTAGGAGAAGGAGGCTTATCACACCTCAAGTTGGCTTTTGCCAAACTGGGCAGTCGCTATTTTCGTAGCTCCTTGGAGCTCCTAATGAGGCACTGTCTGTCATTAAATAAACAGTCAATTAGATTGGGAAGAAACTGGCCTGAAAGAGGCTTTTCATGCGCTCATAGCTATTGACATTAGCCAGCTTTGCGACAGTGGCCTGCCTGGGAACCACCTCTACCATTAAAAAGAACAGTAATGAGGATGGCTTATACTTCCGGAGCGTGACAACCAGAGTGTTCATATACATCATTTGGTTTGATTTGTCATGTCAGCTGTTAGCTGTATGTGGTGTCACTTTGTGCAAAGGAAAGTATAGCAATATACAGGAGGAAGGGCATCAGGACAGAGAATAAGAACAGGAAGGAGTCAGAAGGCTTTTTTCAAAGACCCACATTAGATGAAAAATTAGAAATTTAATTCTGCTAATGGAGGACAAAGGCTTTGCCAAATTGATAAAGCTTTGGGAAAATCTAGTTATGCAAGGATGCAATTCTAGGTGAACATATACGGACTTTCTGGCTCTATTCTGTATGTTTTAGTTTTTTAAAAAAATTATGTGACCTTTTAAACAACACAGATTATCATTTTAGCTATTTCTACTTTACATGAAGTATGTTTTCTCCCTTAAATGTACTACATAAGAATTCTTGCTATATTTTAATTTTGTTCTCACTAAATAGAAGGCCCAGATATTTATTACGAGAACATATCTTGGATTTTATCATGGGAAGTAATGTGAAAATAAGAGCCACTTGAATGAATTTTAAATTATCTTAAAAAGAAATTTTTGTTAAGTGGCTCTGGGTATTGATTTCCTTGGAGGGACAATGAGGAAGGATTATGCCAGAGCATATTTCACATTATACAAATGTTCCATGAAACAGGAAAATTGCAGAGGAATTAGTAGCCAGAAGGAATTTTAAAACATGTTTTCTTGGTGATGAGTGATTATTCACTGAGGAGTCATTCTGAGGACATAAGGAACCTAAAATATGATTTAGAAAGTTGTAAAAAAAAAATTAAATAAATAAATAAAAATAAGCATTCCCTTTTTCCCCTAGTACTGGGGATTGAACTCAGGGGCACTTTACCACTGAACCACATCTCCAGTGCCCCCCTTTTTAAACATTTTTTATTTTGAGACAGGGTCTTGCTAATTTGCTTCGGGCTTTGTCAAGTATCTAAGGCTGGCCTTGAACTTATGATCCTCCTGCCTCAGCTTCCCAAATCGATGGGATTATAGGCATGCACCATCCAGCTGGAAAGAAAATGGGCATTTGAAAAAAATCTTTGTTAGCTATGTGGCTGGAATAATCTGTAGGAAGATCATTGTGCAACTTGAGTTCTGTCGGCTGAACAGTCAGTTATATAGCACAGAATGGCTTCTTGATTTTTAGCATTCAGTAGGTACTTTATGAATCCTCCTCTGCTCATTTGTCACTGTAGTGATACCACAGCACTTGTAGCAGGTAGGATCACCTTGGCTTAGGAGAGTTCTATGTGTCCCATTAGCCTTGGGTTGAATCTAATATATCCATTTAGTGTTAATCTTTCTCATCCTTTGATTTTTCAGAAGTATTCTTGCTATCTTTTAGTATGGGACTCAAAGAAATATTTTCAGCTCTGAGAGATATTTCCCCTCCTATTTGTTCTGTATATCTGGCTTTTCTGGCCAAAGATGGATGCATACCTCAAAAATACCATAAACATGTACTCCATTTTCAATGTTGTTGACAATTTTTCTTCTTTACTGATTCAAATGGATTATCATAAACATCAGTGAGACATTTGAGGCTGCTTATGAAGTGGTACAATGGTACTTTCGAGAACTGTCATACATCATTGTCCTAATGACAGTGATGAAGTTGTAAATAAGGTCAGAGTGGTGAATTGTTCATTTACCTACAGTTTTTCAGAGTGAAGTATCCGAAGGCATCTACTGGAGGGTTTGTGAATATTTTGTCTAATATCTTTGATTTCTGTCACTATGATACAGAACTAAGTTGTTTTTAAAATAAGAATATCTTTTCTATTGTGCCTTTACACTTGTATCATTATTAAAATAATATTCCCAACAGTGTGCAGTATCCTGAATCTGGGGCCCCGGCTATTGGGGAGGTGGAGGCAGGAGGATCATTTGAGCCCAGGGATTTAAAATACTCTAAAGTGATGGCCAAAAAAATTATTCTACTCTGCCAGTTCCAGAATTGAATGACTTTGTTAGACATTTTAAAGAAAAACCAATAGCATAGCTAATCACAATTCTCCTCTTTTGTGCCAAATTGAATTTTACTTTGGTTTTAATTTTCATTTTAAATACTGAAGGGAACAAGCCTGTCACATACCAGCACCTGTCACCTTTTTGTCTGAATGGGCCTACTTGTTCTTTGCAAGACATGATTTAAACTTTCCCATTAAGACACATCAGAGGTTTTTTTTTTTTTTTTTTTTTTTTTGTTTGTTTGTTTTGGTTTTTTGTTTGTTTTTCTTTCTTTTTTAATCACAAAGGAATCTTTTTTTATCTAAAGTCTGCAGCTTTAGGCTGCTGTGTGTCTCACTCCCCTCACCAGAAGACAAAATTGGCTGGGGCCATACTGAAGGGAATAGTTGATTGTGGGTGTGGTCTTCTAGGACAATGGTTAAAGTGAAAAGTGAGATGTAAAATTAGTATCCAAACAGGCTTAACTGGTTTTCAAAATCTTCTCTTATTTAACAAGACAGAGGTATTGAATATAAAAAGGTTTGGGGATTATCTAAAACCAAAGTATTCAAAGATCAGGTTGTTAAAGGATTTGGATTCAAGATCTTGCACATTTTTTAAAGGTGTTAAACAATAAACCTTCAAAATTTGGGAGAGCGTTTTAGGAGAGGGAGTCTCCAACCTGTTTCATATATGTTCCCAAGATGGGTGTTGAGCCCAGTCAGCTAACAGATTCTTTTTGCTCAGGGAATCCTTCACCCTGTAGTTATCAGTGGTCATCTTTGTATTTGAGTTGAGTTAAACTTTTTAATAGGGATAAAGACGGTAGGTGGGCCAGCCAAATGCATTTTTAAAATGGGGCAGAACCAGGTGCCTTAGCCCACATCTGTAATCCCAATAACTTCAGAGGCTGAGGCAGGAGGATCACAAGTTTGAGGCCAACTTCAACAGTGTAGCGAGACCCTGTCTCAAAATGAAAAAATAAAAAGGGCTGGGGATGTATAAAGAACATCTGGATTCAATCCCCAGTATCAACAAACAAACAAACAAAAAACCCCACTATTGGTACAATAGCCTTTATGCCAAATATTTAGAATGCTTTTGAAAATGCCGTTTTGATTTTGAGTGAGGAGTTCTAATGAATAAATCACCATATGGAAATAATCACATCCAATTTAAAAAATGAATTTTCATGTCAAGAAACCACCAAAATGTCGGCTAGATATACTTATAACATATTATGTTTGTTTTTAAATAAGGAGAGTTTACCTTTTTATAAATTTTGACTTGAGTTTAGTTTGCTTTACTGTCACATATATTAACTATAGACAAAGGAGTGAATTCTAATACCAGATTGCTACATTGCTATTGCTAAATCCACGTTTGGGTTTTCTTCTCTCTTGCGTACATTTTCTTTCAGTCTTATATGTGTGTGTGTGTGTGTGTACGCACGTGTGTGTGCATTATTTTTTTTTTTAAATCAGCCTGTCTATCTAGAGATTCTGTGAAAAAGAAGTATTAAAAAAGCAAATAGAGACTATCGGCACGTCCTTTGAATATGATTTCCCAGGGCTTGGGGATAAATGAAATAAATAAAACTGTGATGCACCAGAAAGGGGTGGCATGGGAAAAAAGCCTGGTGGTTCTGGGAAGACGCGCATTCTCCTAAGACTGCATATATTGTGGCCGACCAACTAAGTCACGTGGTGGGAGGGGGCTCTTTTCTTTCTCTTCCACATCCCTTCCTCTGATGTCACAAATCTGTTCTTTCCTGGGAGAATTAATTAGTATTCATTGGGTGCAGTTGGCAAGAAGAAGGGGAGGGAGCGATCTTAAGACAGCAAGGAGGAAGAGCTGTGGGGGAGCAGGTCCTTCCCCTGGGAGCCACACAGAGCGGAGGCACAGTCGCGGGTGCAGAATGGTTGTTTTATAACTGGGATCCTCGGTGACGTATGGCTGCCTGTTCCTTGGCAGCTGTCTTTATGGACCAGTAGGCAGAGCGAAATTGACGCTGACAAGACTTTTGCATCTTGGAAGGGACTGTAATCTACTGTAGTGAAGAACAGAGCCTTTCAATCAGGCGGGTGTAAATAAGAGACGGAGGGGAGTCCAAAGAAAAGGAAGAGGAGGAAAAAAAAGTGTGTGTTGGGGGGAGCAGGGAAAAGCATTTTTGGTGGATGGTATGAAGCCAGCCATGGAAACTGCAGCCGAGGAAAATACTGAACAAAGCCAAGAGAGAAAAGGTACCCAGTGCTCCGACAATAGCCGGTTTTAAAGCTTTTCACTGAGGGTGCTTGAAAAGGGGTTAGCCGGGTTTTGTCTCTTAAATGGCTCTGAAACAATCCCTATGGCATGATCTTGTTTGCAGGGTGGTGTTTTCCTGTGGGCTGATGTTAGATGAAGAGAGCAGCCTCTCTTTAGTCCATTCCTGTTGCACATCTTCCTATGGAATGTGCTATTTCATAGAAGGATGTCCATAGTTTGTCACCAAGGGGAGTTGAATATGGGAAACTGTCTTTTTATTAATGTAATTAATCACAATTTAGCTTTTACGTTGTGCATGTTATATTTCAGGGACACGGAATGTGTTGTTCTCTGCCAGTGCCAAGACGGAACTGGAGGGGCATGCATGCTAATTACACTTTGGTTCCACTAATATAGTAGTGATTTAGACATACCTTCATTTACTTATTCTAGTGTGATTGCTCTTTCTGTGTATCAAGCCCCAACTATGGCCCGTAATGATCATTTACAGTTAGAGCTTCCGAGAGGGCATAGCTCTGTTGCCTAGTACTGATAGAACAGAAGGGGTCTTTTGCTACTTATGACTTAAAGATTTGAGGGAGGAAAATTGATGAAAGGTCCTGTTCCCTGAAGGAAATCTTAGACCATGTCACAATTTTGATATCCAGAATAGCTTTTTGAGAAATCAGTATTGTTGCAGTATGAAAATGACAGAAAATAGAAGCTGAAATTAATCTCTTTTCCTAAATAATGACTGATGTCAAGTTTGATGCCCCATGGAATCAGCTCAGCCCCTGTTAGGTTAATGGCATCTCACTGCATTGTAAGTGATCTCCCTCACTCAAAGTCATGGACTGTCATAATCGCACAAAAACATGTTCTATATCCGCAGTGGCTCTGATGTTAAAAGCTACCATGCTAAGGTTATTTCGCTCAACGGCCCTTGCGCTCAATGACAGTCACTAAACTGTAGTAATTCTCCAGAATAGGGGCACAACTATGTTTTTCTTATGCCTATATAGGTTGAACCATATGAAATTCCTGATGGTCAACCATTTTAAACCTACAAAAACTGGTGACTATATGTAATTCCACTTAGCATGTTGGGGTAAAGGCAGCTTGTTTTTATGCAGAATTTCTTCTGTGCACATTAACATTTTTATCCTGAACAGACCAATTTCATTTTAAAAATAAATTTCTTAAAGTATGATAATACACATAACATAAAATTTGCCATTTTAACCATGCAAGAATATAATCCAGTGGCTTTAAGCAAATACCAATCTAATTTTAAAGTTGTTAGTTTGGTTCGATCCTTGTGTCAGACCGACCTCCCTCCAACAAAAACCCACCCTGTCTTCTCTTATATGTGCCTCTTTTTTTTTTTTTCCTTTTCTCTAATCTACTTTAATGACTGAATAGTGATAAGAAAAACTCTTGAATATTTCTCACGCTGAGGAAGTGAGATAAAAGTTTAAAGATTCATTTCCATTATAAGAGACATGATTGCATGTTTGAGAGGTATAAGATCCTAACAGCATCATCCTGAGGAATTCTATCACTGTTTATAGCATTTTTTTCTAAAGCAAGTGATTTTGTTTCATGTGTACTTATTTTTTTATTAATATGATGGTCTCTCGTGGCAGATATAAAATGTTTTGCTTTTTTTTTTCAAAAGCAAGCAAAGGACATATAACTGATACAAAATCCTTTCTAAATAATTGTGAATTTCATAATTTAGTCTCACGGATTGCTATTTTATGTCAATTAAATATTAATAACAGGTCTACAGATTGCCACTGCATCCCTGACAAACTGTATGTGAAAATGCATTAGCTGTGGATTTACAGGCAAAATTAGAAGTGGAAAGATCATTGTGGAGGAGCTTTTAAAATTACCAAAATTTATAAACATTAATTGTTTGTTCAATAATTCATTAGCACCAAACGACCAAAAGATAGCATCACATGTATGAAACATACTTAAATAAGAATACAGGCCAGGAAATTTATTTTTACTGATCTGGAGCAAAAAGAATTGTGCTTCATCTGGAGACTGGCTTATCTAGTGATCTCCATTTAGACGAACAAGTTCCCATGTTAGCTCCACAAAGTCAAACTCATACAAGTATCTTCCTAGTTCCTCAATTTGCTTGTCCATTGTCATTAAGACCCACATAAAATAATAGCCACCGATGGTCATGTGTACTTGTCACTTGAGTATTACAGATTTATTTTTAAGTTTATAAAACAAATGCTTATTTCATTGATATGAACATTTAAAAATTTGACATCATTACTTATAGAGGGCATTATATAATTCTGGAACTGATAGACCCTCCCTCTCTGCACTTTTCTTTTAAGGCTTTCAGAAAGGATTCTTATTCTGAGTTTAATTCTATACATTTTGTCACTTCATGCAGTTTTTCATGCTGATATTACCCCTCCCAACACACACACACACACACACACACACACACACGTTTTCAATTGTAGGTGACAGGGGCAAAGCCCATCTCTTAATTTGAGGTATTATTGCCCTACCCAGTAGCTTGTGAATTAATAGCTTTGGATAATTATTATGCTATTAAGAATGTAAATTAAACTTAGATTTCTAAATTGACCTTAGCTTTTCTAGTTGTCCTTTCCTGGGCAGGAGAATACATCCCAGCTATTGTGATTCACAAACTCCCACAGAGAGAGCTGTTTATTTAAAAACTAAATCAGAATGGCTTTGTTCCTATTTTAGACAAAAATAATCCAAGGCTCCACAAAAGAAAAGCATTTGTGTTTTTGAAATGGTCTCATAGCTTTGCTCACAGAATGCTACTGGATGACCAAAATTCACAAAGAGTGTTTAGTATATATTCAGGAATTTTTAAGGAAAGCAAGTAGCAGGCTTTCTCAGATGCATTGGTAAAATGCCAAATTGTTACAAATGACGGTTTTTAAATTGAGAGCATTAAATTAAATCAAAGTGTGAGGATTGATTGAGTAAGCAGATTCACTGCAAATGAAATAAGTGGAGGAAATGAATAAGACAGAATCAAAGGAAATAGATCACGGGATCCAATAATAAAAAGATGGAGAGTTAGGTTTCCATTTATTTCAGTGGAGTATTACTTGATGTCAATTCATTTGTGAAAACAGATGCATCTGAAATTGCTGGGAGCACGTAATCACTGGGTAGAAAAACAATTGAATCATAACAACTCTGTATGCTCTATTATATGAAAAAAAAATCTGAGTAGCTGTGATGAAGGTTATTTTTATGACATACAGGAAATTGGATTCTACTGAAATAATTATAGTCAGGCTAGTTCAGTTCCTATGAATCGTTGCTGAAATAAAATCCAGAATCTAGGCATCAAATTAAGTTCCTAACCACATAGAAAGAAAAATGTAGTAAATTGGAAATAATGTTTAATTTAAAATAAATTGCAGGATATAGTCAAGAATAAGAAATGAATTCAAATTGACTTGTTTGTAAAATTAACAGATCCATTTCCATCTTTTTTTGATCAAGTAGATATGATTTTCTACATGTTTTTAAAATTAAAAAAAATGTATACTTTTGACTCTCCTTTTTTTGTTTAGGAGGAAAAGCACTCTTTTAGAACATATGACTTGTATACTGAAAACCAGAGGGGTATATTTAACATGTCACAATATTCTTAATGATCGATGAGTTATGCATTTTTATTGACATTTTTTAACTTGTATTTATGAATGTGATACGGAGAAAGTTTTAGATGCACTTTTTCTCTAAGAATTTGCCAAGGTGGACATCTGAAGAGATGGTGTCTGGGGAATAGGCTATAGAGAAAAGTGCCTGGCCAGATGGTGTGAGACACATGTGGTAGGTATGATATGGTGTCATTTGATTCTTCTTCTTCTTTTTTTTTTTTTTTTTTTAAGAAAATTTAAATGTGGAGAAAGATCTCAAAGAGCCATTTGGTACATCTGCCACTTTTTACATTATCAGTTCCATAAGCATACTTTACAAGACTTGGTCATGCTAATTCATTAGAAAAGAGTTCTGGTCTATTTCTGGAAACTTACCTTTTGTCTTCCTTGGAACTGAGTGTCAACCCAAATTAAGATCGTACATTTTAAGATTATGTTTCTTTGTCACTTGGAAGTACAAGTCAATTTAAGGTAAATGATCTTAATAAAATATTTAGTCTTGCTATATTTGAGAACATGCAAAATAGCCCGTGTCTGCATGATGTAAGCTTCCCCTTCCCATGACTGGTGTTGGATTGTTCCAAAGATACTCCCCTCCTTTTTTCTCCCTTGGACCAAATGCATGCATGTGCACACACCCACACATACATGCACACCCGTGCACACGAACATACACACACACATGAGATGTTTGGCCAGGAGTAGGACTGGCTATGGGATGAAGAAAGAACAGGATGCACATTGACTTTTAAGAGAGGGACGCTACAATTCCAGTTTTGCAAATGTGCTTTGTTGCTCCTCATTTGTTTATTCATTTATTCACTTCATTGTGTTCTCCTTTGAAATGTTATCCCCTGTCCTCTCAGCATTTGTTAGAGGAGTGAAAGTGTACTAACTCATTTTAGGCACTATCATTAAGAGTGGTACAATTTCAGCTGGGAATGGTGACATACACCTGTAATCCCGGCAATTTGGGAGGCAAAGGCAGGAGGCTCACAAGTTCAAGGGCAGCCTCAGGAACTTAAGGAGACCCTGACTCAAAATAAAAAAGGGCTAGGAATGTGGCCCAGGGGTTAAGCACTCCTGGGTTCAATCCCCATTACCAAAAAAAAAAAAAGTAGTATAATCTCAGGTTCCATAATTTTGTTGGATTGGTGGCAAATAAAATAGAAGACAACAGTGGCATAGAAAATTTTGATTCTTAACCAGCCCAGTGATATTTGTCTTTGGAGAGTGTGTAATAGGAGAAAATAAAATAATATCATATTTTATAGGCTGACTTTATTAGTTATATTAACTGATTTATATAATCAAGTCTTACTATGCTATATTTGGCATCACAAGTCACACTTTTTTCGAAATGTAAAGGACCAGGTAGCAAATACTTACAGTTTTGCAGACCACAGGTCTTTGTCACACCTGTTGAAATCTGCCATTGTAGCATGAAAGCAATCATAATATGAAAACAAATGATTTCAATTTTGTTCCAATAAAACTTTTTTTTATAAAAACAGCCAGCTGGGGATATAGCTCAGTTGGAAGAGTGCTTGCCTTGCATGCACAAGACCCTGGGTGCAATCCCCAGCACCAAAAAACAAAAACGCAGATAGCCATCATTTGCCAACCATTACTATATTCTATATTCTATTGTATTGTTATGGCTTTCTTTTAATATTTTAGCTAATAGCTAAAAATGAAGGATGATAAATATAGCTTTGAATGATCAGTGAATATTTTCTCTCTAGGCAGCTTAGTGATCGTCACTTAATTGCTTCTAACATAATAAACAGGGGAAAAAAAAAGGAATGCAGCACTGTTTTGCTTTCTTTTCTTTAGTTTCCCATTGTTCATGTCATGCCTAACTTTGGTGATGACCACTCACAGTTGTGTGTCTACATAAACCACTAGCACTCACCACATCCCCATCTTCTGATCTCAAAGGGGGACATTTTGCAGTGTTTCCTCCATAAGGCCTAAACCATTTCCTCATTCTTACCAGATGCCTGGAATGAACAGGGTGTTTTGATATACCCCTGGAGCTGAGGCTTTTTGCAATCAGGCTTTTTGCTTCTAGGTGTTGGGACCCTGTCCTCAGTATTCAAATATATATTGTGCTCTCTGAAAATTTACAGATAGCCTTATATTTAATGTCTCAATTTTATCTCAAGTTTATTTTATACTAAGTTTATCTCTGGGGCTGGGGAATATAGCTTAGTTGATAGAGTGCTTGCCTCACATGCACAAGGCCCTGGGTTCAATCCCCAGCACCAAAAAACCAAAAAGTTTATTTCTAAAATGTAAAATCCAAGTGATTTTTCTTTTCTTTACTATTTAAAGATTTGCTGTTGTAACAAGACCTCTCCAGAAGTATCAGTTCAGGGAATGGGAAAACATCTATGCAGTTGCTGATCCCATTTGTGCATCTGCTGGGGTAGTTATGTTTGAATGATGAATTAAATACCTCAGGCGTGGCTGCCAGAAGACACACTGGTGTTAGGAAATCCATGGTTTTTCATTGATGTTGCCCAGCAGCTAGTGACTGATTCACCAAATGTCTGCAGACTTCCCCATCCATATAGAGAGATGAGGGCAGGACAGGGACAGATCCTCTGAATTGCATGGCCTGGCTAGAGTAGAAGTCTACAGGGTAGGGAACATGGAGGACCATTCTGGGTCCATGGGCTCCCAGTGTGTTTCCTTACTTCCAACTAAATATTCATTCATCTAATAGTTATTAGGCACCTACTGTATGCTGGGTGTGCAAAGATGAAATCTGAAAAAGGAAGATGAGGGGCTGGGAGTGTAAATCAGAAATAGAGCACTTCCTAGCATGCATGGGCCCTGGGTTCCATCCCCAGCACCCACTCCCCCCAAAAAAGAAGGATGAAAAATTTCACATTAAAAGTGACTAAGGTACTTAGAATCCTCTTGTTTGGGGGACCAACATGAAGGGCTCACAGCCACTTTGCTAAGAGGAAATTAGATTGTTCGATGAGGTGACTTGACCTTCTGGTTCTTTCTAGCCTCAAGAGTTCTTTGCTGCAGAGAACATAGCACCTTTGAGAATCTTCTTGAAGGCTGAGGATTATGAGCTTTTATAAACCTGAATTAACATCAGTAGCTGAGGACCAGGGCCATTTCTTTAGGAGGCATAGCACAGCTCACCTCAGCATGGACCTCAGAAAAACACTGCTGCCTCTGGAAAAAGTATAGAACAGCCGCAAATGCACAGGCTCAGGAGGAGGTTGCGGTGGTTTTTTAAAGTGCGCCCTCTGGAGGCTGATCGCCCAGGTGCACACCCAGGCTCCTCCACCCACTGGCCAAATGATCTTTACCTTTTTGTCTCCCTCCCTTCTTCATTTATCAAGACAGAATAACAATTTCATAAGGTAGTTGTGATGGATAATGGAACAGGCACCATGTGCTCATTAATATGACAACTAGCGCATCATAAACACTTTATAAATTATAGCTGTCACCCTCAGCACTGATAACAGAAACAGCAGTAGCCAAAAAGTTCTGTTGTGCAGTTCTGATCTTATTCAAGTCTCTTTTATTTCTCCTTTTAGACAAAGCATTTTTATCTTACTTTGAAGTCAAAAAGGGTCTCTCTAAAGTGTCACCTAGAAAAGTAAGTCTTTGCTTCCCAATCTGAAAATTCTTAAGAGTTTTCAGAGAGAGAGGAGCGTGGAGTTGGGATTCCATGCAGGCACTGTCAGATTTTCAGTGTACCCTGTCAGGGTGTTTGCTGCTTTGCCTCCCAATGTGGATATTTACTGGGTCTTTATCGGCAGCCATCTAAGGTGCCAAATGGAGCATTAAAACTGCTCTTCTGATGGAATCATTGCCCACATCAGTGCCAGAAGCATTTTTTTTTAAATCTCTAAATATTTGTGATACCCAGAGGACATAACCCCTTATCCAGTTTATAGAATTTTCAGACATAAACTGGCCATGGTGACCTGAGTTTGTTAGGGATTTCAAGATTATAATTCAGCTGTTACCAGAAGCTTCTTCTATGCCAGGCAAATTGGTAGGTATTTTCTTCTCCATTCCCTAAAAAGTGGGAAACAGTCATATTGACAGAGACCCAAGTCCTTTGGAGGCCAGTTGTCAACACCTGAGTAAGCTCTGACTTGAGCCCCAGACCTGCAGCCCTTTCTTCATACTGAGAAATCATTGAAATAGGATTTAATGTAGAATATTCTAGACTCTGATATTCTGAGCTGAAGGAGAGGTGACACAGAATACCACAAATGTCAGTGGAGGATAGATATTTTATCCAAGATTCAGCAGGCTACTGGGTTATGTGTCAGATTTTTAGGACTGAAACTGGGGAAAATTATAGAGAGTGAACCTATGTTCACCTTTGCTTATGCAGCTGGCAAAAATTATAGTGCTCTTTTGGTCTGAAAAGGAAATAAAACAGAAAGAAAAATTGTGCAAAGCCAAATTTTAACTATAAATAGTGTCTTTTCCAAATGAGCATTTTGAGGGGTGGGTTGGAGGGAGGAGGTGGAGACATGAACAAAGGAAAGGAGATTTTGGTGATCTGTATAAATTGAAATTAAAAGACAAAGGAAGCGACTCCAACATTCTTAAATGTATCATGCAGAGTTGTTGAACTGATACTGAAGGATTACATTTCAATAGCATATATTTAAGCTCCCATTTCCTTGAAGTATATGGTAAAAGAATAAATAAAAATGCTGATATAGAATCTTTGCTGGAGATAGAGACACTGACTCTTTGCCACCTGAAATTGGCAGTGAACAGCAGAGCTGAAATGGAAATTGGCAGGTACCACTGGATGTACCCAGGCTCAAAGAACCACCAGTACCATCCTGTGCCAACCATGGGGGACAGGGCTAGCCCCTTGAGCAGTCCAGGTAAATACAGCCTTGGGGTGAATTCTAATAGCAAGTCAACTGTTCTCTTTACTATGATTTGTAATAGCTCTTTCAGTTTCATGATATTTTATGTTTTGCTTGATGCATTAATTTGTTGACATGGGCATGGGTGGAATAGGCCCTTTAAAAATTTTTTAATCATCTTTCATTTTCTCTCCCCCTTTCCATTCCACCCCATCTTTCTCTATTTTCTCTCCCTCTTTCCTCACCCCACCTCTTCTTCTCTAAGGGAACAGTGTACAGTAAGATAGGCCTTGGGGCTAACATAAAATTTTGGATGTCTGAACCAATAATGGGGAAGGGGGACCATATATGTCCACCACTGGGCCTGGAACAGGACCAGGGCAGACAAGGAGCCTTGGATGTAGGAGTTCTGAGCATGCCCCCAATATCTCTTCAACCTGGCTGTTTTGTGTCACCCTCTTTTAACATTGGTCAATGTCTTTGAGAAAGAGAAATCCAAGCATGTGAAATTAGGATTGGATCAGTGTGTGTTCAACTCCCACCAGGTAGGTCCCTTGAATTCAGTTTCCATTTTCCTTGCTCTTGAAGAGCACTGGTGTCTCAAACCACTAGGTACTGGGTCTGGATGAAATCCATGATTGGATTTGGGGATCTTGGGGAAGGGAGAATGCTGACCAATATGGGCATCTACCCTTTTGTATTCCCAAAGTTTACATGTGGCAATGTTCAGCTCAGGTGGCGAAAACTCAATGATTTAGCTAACATAGAACTGTAGTTCAAAGTATGTCGGATGTGACATAAAGGGCTGCTGGCGGGTCAGATAAACACAACAGCAGGCTTAAAGTATTGCTGTGATTTTTGTGTCACCCATAATGTCATCTCTCCCAAATGGCTGCTTGCTTTGTTAGGAATAAATCAGAAATGGCAGCTTAGCAAGTACAGCTCTGGAAGGAGCAATCCTGAGATACAGTGGAAGATACCTATTGAATGGCAAAGTCATAAAACCCTTTATTTCATAAAACCATCTTTTTTTCTTCAAGACCTAGATTGTGGTGTCAGGTTAATGGCCATGAAATCTGACTTTCTGCCTTGGATCTGTTAGGTACCAGTTCTGTGTGTATCTGTGCAACGCTGGTTAGAAAAGGTGAGCAGAAATGGATCAGGCATCCATTCTCATAGATCTTTTAAAGAATGTAGGGGGTACCAGATATGGTGGTGCATGCCTGTAATCCCAGCAACTGGAGAGACTGAGGCAGGAGGATTACAAGTTTGAGGCAAGCCTCAGCAACTTAGAGAGGCCTGGTCTCAAAAAATAAAAGGGGCTGGGGATGTGGCTCAATGGTTACGAGCCCCTGGATTCAATCCCCAGTCCAGTAGGAAAAGAAAAGAACAAAGAAAGGGTTCTGGAATCTTGATTTTAAAAAATTGTCTTTAGACATAATATAACCAATACAATACTGTTCAGTAATAAAAAGGAATGAAGTATTGACTCATGCTGTGACATGGGTCAATGTCAAAAATATGTTAAGTAAAAGAAGTCAGACACAATGTTATATGGCTCCATTTGTTTTAAATTTCCAGAACTGGTGAATCCATAGAGACAAAAAATAGATTACTGGTTGTCAGAGACTTAGGAAAGTGGGGAATGGACCACAACTATAGATGGGCACAAGGAATGATGAAGATGTTCTGAAATGAGATTGTGGTGATGTAAATTTACCCGAAACCATTGAGTAGTACATTTGAAATAAGTGAATTTTATGAACATAAATTGTACTCCATGAAGGTATTTTAAAAAGTGCCCCCCCTCTGGGGCTGGGGATGTGGCTCAAGCGGTAGCGCGCTCGCCTGGCATGCGTGCGGCCCGGGTTCGATCCTCAGCACCACGTACAAACAAAAATGTTGTGTCCTCCGAAAACTAAAAAATAAATATTAAAATTCTCTATCGCTCTCTCCTCTCTCTCTATCTTTAAAAAAAAAAAAAAGTGCCCCCCCAAGCTATTAGGCACGTGTAGTTTAAGGTTGGCGGGTATTTGTTAACAAGAAAGCCCCTGGTATCAGAAACTACTGCTTGAGGCAGGAGGGTGGTCATTTTAAGAATAAGTGTTAGGGGCTGGGGCTCAGTGGTAGAGCGCTTGCCTAGCATATACAATGCGCTGGGTTTAATCCTCAGCACCACATAAAAACAAATAAATAAATAAATAACGTATTGTGTCCAACTACTATATATATAAATAAAAGAATAAGTGTTAGATGACAGTTTATGCTGTGTAATACCACCACCAAGGGTTGGGTACTGCTTCAAATCCCATCTGGAGAGCCTGAGTCAGATGAATAATGATTGTCAACAGCCCCTTGTCCATTCAGGTCTGGTTTTGGCACCAAAGAAGTTCAGGCCAGCATAGGTCTTTCTGCCAGATAAGTTAGGCGATAATGGATTTTATCTGAGCATGCTGGTGCACACCTATAATCCAACAACTTGGGAGACTGAGGCAGGAAGATTCAAGTTCAAAGCCAGTCTCAGCAAATTAGCAAGGCCCTAAGCAATTTAGCAAGACCCTATCTCAAAAATAAAAGATAAAAGGGACTGGGGGTATAGCTCAGTGGTAAGCACTCCTGGATTCAATCCCCAGTTCCCTTCCCTCCAAATCCTCAATCTTGAAATGGTCTCAACCCACACAGTTTTAACTTTTTTGTGCATGAACTGCAATCATTGGTGAGAGGGGAAATGCTGCTGACGCACAAAACATTGGGATCATTTGTGTCTGTGCTGGCCATAGAGACCTTACTCTTGATAGTATAAAGACAATGGTGTAGGCCTCAGAGAAGGGGGCTTTAAACCGACCATGCTGTCACCTTTCCAGGCGCTTAGAGGTCTTCTTGGCTCCAAAATCGATGCAGTTGCCATTCTGTACTTAGATCCTAACCAGATGGTGTGACGGAAAAAATAGAGAATTCCATATGGCTCTTGTGTCTTTTTTTTTTTTTTTTTGTATAGAGTTCTCAGTTTCTTTCCACTGGGGGAAAGAGGTTTTGATACAGCCTGACCAAGAAGTCTTTGCCAAAGGAAAATGCTTCTCTCACCCACATAGTCTTGTCTTGCAGCAGGGGCTACCATTCCTCCAACTTCCTTATTCCCCCCACCACAAATGTCAAGGCTGTTCTAGTGTCCTTTGTCTTGATTTTTTTTTTTTTTACTTTTTTCCCCCCCTGCTGCAGCTTCCTGATACAATGACTTTTTAAAGACCTAGATAATAACTCTTTCACCCTTTTTTATCTTTTCATTTTTTCCATACATCTGGTCTAGGCCTACAAAGGTCAAAGGAGGAACCCCTTGTAAAACTGCCTGAGGGGCCTAGGTCTGAGATAGTAATCTGATGCTTATTGCAAGGGTGAAACAAGATCTAATGCTAGATCTGCATTCCATGGAAAATTGTGCTTAAGGTTTAGGAAACATTCCCAGGCTGCTATAAATTGTGTTACTCAGGCTTCAGAGAATAGTTTCAGAGAACTTAGATTCTCTGCTTCAAGTGTGGGCTGTAGCTCAGCAGAATTGGCATCTCCTGGGAATTTGGGAGAAAGGCACAATCTCAGTCCTCCCTATCTACACTGAATCAGAATCTGTATTTTAGTAAGATTTCCAGGTGACTCCTATGCACATGAAGGTTTGGGAAACATTAATTTACAGCCAAGTCCATGAAAAAGAAAGGCACAGACAGGAAGGAATCGAAGATGTGAAGTTACCTTCAAAATCTAGAAATTTGTCTTTGGAAAAGAGAAAAAATTGCTTAAAGTATTGATTCTTTCTTCTTTCTGTCTCTGTTTATGGAGAGGTATGAGTAAGATGTGTCATGGTAATCATGAACATGAGTCCTGGTTGGTTTGAAATACTGTGACCTTTGATTCTCTTACCTGCTTGTCTGATGAAGGAGATTGGGAAGGAGCTGTGAAGGTGAAAAAGGTTCATTTTCTTGGGCAAAGAGAGGGCCAGAGGAGAAAGTTAGTAATGGGAGTTTGAGAATAGTTCTCAAATGCGTCTCATGTACCTCTTGAATATAATTTATGGCATATAAGCTGTATTTATTATTGAATGTAGGCTGCGATCCAATGGACCAAGAATGACTGCTCATATATACAGTGGTAAATCTGTAGTTGAGAATTCAGCCTGACAGATAAAGAACACAACAACCATTAACTTCACCAACCCATCCCCCTCTCCCAAATCTGAATAGCTCTGATGCTTACTTAGATTGAGATGGCTGTAGACCATTCCAGAAGTCCAGAAAAAGATGGTGCTCTCTCACCTATGGAACATAATAGAGGGGTGAAGAGAGGAGAGCTGTGGAAATGCTGGTGTTCAGCAAGATGCCCAAATGTTGTGCTTTGCATGGTCAACTATGGATTCCAGAGCAGCCATGGGGGTTGGTGACTGAGAGGGAGGGAGAAGTATCTTGAGTGAACTGCTATGACTTGGGTTCTACAGTCTCACTCTCAGGACTCTGTTCAAGGCTGTGTATGTGGCCAGGTGTGACCTCAGGCAGGCTACCTGAGAACGGCAGACTTCCTCTTCCTGTCCTCTGACTGCTGAGCCTGGGACTTTCCTCTCATGCAGTTACTTTATGGCCTGGCAGCTATGGGTAGGAGTCTTGGAAAAAGCTGTTGGTTTAAGGCCACCAAATTTGAGGTCTTTCTCCAAATCATTTTAAATGTATTTCAAGAGGAAAATGCCTCCTACTGTAATTGTATGCACCATTGGGGCCTGTGCTTGTGGTTGGGTGTCTGCCATAACCCACGTGCCAATCCTGCTGTGCAGGTTCTGGGGCACTGCCTCACTGTTCCCCAGAGCCTGGGTGCACAAGCTTTCTGAGCTTAGATGACTCAATCCAGGGAAGCTCTCAACCTGTCGGATGCTTCCTGTCACTCTGGGTGTTTCTGGTTCGATGGAGGGAAATGGTGAACAAGCACACTATAGCCCAGGTTCATGCTGCCAAGTTCCTGAGGTCTTTAGGATTCTT